ACAACGGTATGAAACTAGAAATCAACTATAGGAAGAAAATCAGAAAAGCCACAAATACGTGGAGATTAAACAAAATGCTACTGAACAACGACTGGGTCAATGTGCTGTGGTTTAAAAGTAATGCTTTCTAGCTGTCAAAAATCTTATTTGAAGACTTTGGTATGATAGTCTGTGTCTTCCAAAATGAGCATCTTTAACGTGCCAAATATTCATAGGAAACTGTATATGAATGCAGGAGAAATAAAGTAATTAAATAAGGCCTCCGATCCTTCCCACTTCCTTTGTAAGCAAGCAGGCGGCATAACATATCTCACATGTTATAATTAGTAATGAGGTGAAGGCCAGAAAAACAAAACAAGAACAAAACAAAGAGACAATGTTAGTTTAGTCGGGACGCTGTGTCAGTGAGCTGAGGCTAAAGAAGTCCCGGTACTGCTGTCACGATGACCCACCTGGCCTGCACGTAGGAGGAGCCGCGCACCTTCCGTTAACACTTTGAGGCGGGTCACCTGCCCCTCTGCGACCCCCACCGGGCAGGAGGAGGCCGCGCCGCAGGCGCATGGCCAGATAGTGCCGCCCGCCGGCACCTGCGTCGGGGCGCCGCGGGGGTGTGCGGGGGGAGGTGGGCCCCGCCTCCGCTCTCCCGGGGCCCAATCATCTCAGATTCTGCCGGCCACACCCCCAGCCGGGGGTGGGGGGTGCGTCTTTAAGACTCGGCCGCCTGGCCGCTCGCTCAGTTGGGGGTGCGGGGCTGTGGGCCGGGAGGCTCGGGAATTGTTCCTTGAGGCGCGCGCGCAGCCACTCTCCTCGCGGCAGCCTGCGCGCCTTGCGCCGCCGGCCCACCGGGGGCTCCACCGCCCTCGCCTCGGCCTCGCTAGCCCGCCCGGCCGGCGCTCGGCAGCTCCTCCGCGAGCCCGCCGGGAACTCGCGCCCTTCGTGCTCCCGCGGCGCCCGAGGTGGCCGCCTCGGGCCATGGTGTTCTTTCAGGAGGCTCCCGCCGCCGAGCGGGGGACGAGCGAGATGCAGCCGCCCGGCCCCGCGTCCGTGGGGGCCGCTCCGGTGGACGGCCCCGGCCTCTTGGACGGCCCCGGGGCGGCCGCCGAGAAGGTGGAGTTAGAACTGGTAGGGCCGGCGGGCGCCGAGCCCCCTCAGCCTCCTGAGGGAGGTCGGGGCTGGCTGGTGATGCTGGCGGCCATGTGGTGCAACGGGTCGGTGTTCGGCATCCAGAACGCCTGCGGGGTGCTCTTCGTGTCCATGCTGAAGACCTTGGGGTCCAAGGACGATGACCTGATGATCTTCAAGACAGGTGAGGGGCAGCCCCGGGAGGCGGGCGCGGGCCCGCGAGCGCATCCCGCGTGCGGAGGCTGTGCGCCTCGGTGGGTCCCCGTGTGCGGGAGGGTGTGAGTGCCACAGGCAGCCTGCCGCTCCCGGGGCCTCGGTGTGCCTGTCTTGGTATTGAATCCAGGTGTAGGGACTGTGTGTTTGGAAACAGGTCGCAAAACTTACTTGCTTTGGTCTTGCTGCTTTTCTCTCTGCAGAGCGGGAGCTAAGAGTCTACGGTAGACTTTCCTCTTAATTTTTGAAAACAAACAACCTTCCAAACCCAACAACACCGCACTGTCATTTTTATGGTCTATTTCGTGACCGTGTCGTTGGGTTTTTGTTCATCTGCCTCGGGGGTTGCAGAGGGGGGTGTGTGTTGAGGGGAGGCCGGTTTGGCGAGGTGTCAGAGATTTATTCCAAGGTCACGGGAGTTACGAAGGGAGCCCTGCAAAACCCACGGTTTCGTGTTTTTTTTGGTGGGGGGGATTAGGGGGTACTTGGTGCTAAATATAGAAAGCATCGGAGGCAGCTAGATCAGGGACTGGGAAGAGGAAGGTGAGGGGTTACCCTTTCCTGCTGGGTTCTTTGTCATATTTAACCATATACCAAACCAGATGAAAAAGGTGCAGACTCAACAGTTTTTTCACTGTAGAGCGTTATTACATGGTCTCTTGACTGATGAGGCAAAAAACAAGTCCAAGACCCTCTGTGTAACTCTTTTACAAAAATATATTATTTTACTTTATCCTGCAAGGCAGGCATGGTCCACCCCATTCAGATGAGAAAACTGAAGCTTGGGGAAATAAAGTGTTTGGGTGAGTAGCAGAATGGAGATAGAACACACATCTTATGACTTAAGGGGCTAAGTGATTGCCGTGACTAAATTAGGCTCCCTCCCTGCCATTTGGGGAACTTTATATGATTAATAGTCTTTTTTTAACCTTAATTTTGTATGATTTTTAGAGTGAATATTCCTTAGGTCTTTAGCATGTGTACAAGGAATATGCAAGACTGTTATAACAAATTCTAAGACAGAGGTAATGTTGAGAATTTTAAACTTTATATAAATAGTATTTTACTATATGTATCATTCTGCAATTTGCTTTTGTTCTAATCTGTTATATCTGTGATTTATTCCCATTATACCTCAATTTGAGCTGGTAGCTTAAATTCTTTACATTTTAACTCATGGTTCTCATTGTATGACTGTATTATATATATTTGATTTGTGCATTCTCCCTTTAATTATGCATTCTCCCTTTAATTATGCATTCTCCCTTTAACAGACATTTAGATTACTTCCAAACTTACTATAAAGAATGCTGCAATGAATATTCTTGTGCGTTGTCTCCTTGCGCATGTATTGAATAAGGTACCATATTTAACCTGGAATTTCTGTTCCATAAATAGCTCTTGAAGCTGCTGTGTTATGCAGGTCACAGGGCTAGGTACAAAAGTGTTAAAAATGTAATATCACATGCTTACTTTTTAAGGAAGGCAACCCTTGGAAAGTTTAGCAGGCTAGATAGATATGCATATGCAATAGTAAACAAAAATAGTTTTGTGTCTTTTCTAGATGAGTATCAGGTATCTGAGAGGGAAGAGCTCAAGGAAGCCAAATTGACAGAGTTAACATTTTAACACTAGTTCCTCAGCAGTTAGCGTGTTCTTCAGCATTTAGCAGTAATCTTGCCTGGGATTACAGATTTTTAATGCAGTCAGAACAACAAGACAACAGTCTTTTGTTTACCACCGTTTTTGCAAACTCAAATGAGTAAATCCATTGGTGTCTGTGGGGTTTTTTTTCTCCTTCCTTCCTTCCTTTTTTTGAGAGAGAGTGAGCAGCTGCTGGAGAAAGACCATAGTTTTGCCAGGGATCAGAGTTTTGCAGTGTCGAAGCCTCTACCTACCTTCCATCTCCAAAGTTCCTATTGGCTACAGTATCTTAATACCAGGTAGCTGAAGGTGAGGGAGGGAAAGTACAGGAACCTGCTCTCTCGAACTTTCTGAAACTCCGTATTTTCAATTTTGATGAATATCTTTCTCTCTTTACTTAGTTAAATCCTTGACAACTTTCAGTCATGTTTGTATGTGTGTGGGTGTGTATCATATAAATCATACAAACAGTTAAACAGGTATGCCGGTTGAATACGGAAGATCTTTGTGCTTATCTGCATGACTGCCATGTATGGTTGTGCCCTTGCACAAAGGTACCCAATTCAGGGTAAGTCGAGATTGAAAACCAGCCTGTGCTCTGGGTGCCCATTATTTAATTCCTACAAAGGGGCCCTGTGCACTTGTAACAGCCTTGTACAATACAGCAGCTAGATTGAACAATGGCCTTTACTTGGATGCTATGTAATACATGTGCAACAGATACATTTTAAGGTCTGAGGAAGAAAACATATTTAACCTCATCTGTGAAAAAAGGGTGACGAGAGTCTTTAAGCCAGTTAATGTTGAGATATCTATCCTTCCCCCACTGCTCACACAGGTGTTTCATAAAGTCCATCATCTATAACAGGCACTGAAGTATTTGATAATACCTGCTTTGAAGTTGGACTGTTCAGGCTTTTTCACTTTGATATTCTAATGCTGAGTCATCTGTGATCAAACATATGCAAACTTCCCAGTACAATGCAAAAAATATCTGGAATTACTTAAGGCTTTTATTTTTCAAAGTTTCAGTCCATTTTCTGTTAACTTATTCTTGATTGCTAATCCTGGCGTTAGAGGGCAGTTAATACTGTCTCCATGCTTTCATTAGCTTCTTCATAGTGATTAGCTCAAGGATACACAGGGAGGTGGTGGTGGAATGGAACCTAAGTTTCCAAATGATGGTTCACGTTTCTTGAGAATTTCCTATGTGCCAGGCCCAGTTCTCAGCACTTTGCAGGCATTCCTATTTAAACCTTACGGCAACACTGTGAGACAGGCTTATTTAATATCTTTCTTTTCAGATGTGGAAAGGCTTACAGAGTTTAAGTAAGCAGTGGAGCCGGGATTCAACCTCAGGTTTGTCTGACTCCAGAAGCTGGGTTTTTAACAATTGATCGTATTACATTGGCTAGATGACGTTCTGCTAATCTGATGTTCTTTATGTTGTTGATTAATTCAACATTAGCGATTAATTGAGTACTATACCTGGAATTCTGGGGTTAGAAAAGAAATCTGAAAGATTAGGGTCCCTGTTTCTTCATCTTACTTTGCTATCAATAAATAATTGCCAATTGTTGATGTCTCACTGACATAGATTTTTGAAGTGTAGAGAGACTTCCCTAGAGAAAGGAGATAACTTCGTATGACATTTGAGCAAAAGTCTGGAGTTTCCTTTGAAGAACCACGCTGACTGATCCAGAGCAGGACAGTGTTTCCAGGCAGAACTGAAGAGGAGCCTTTCTCAAGCTCACCTCTCCTCCTCAGGGCTCTTTTAACTCTTCTTATGTAACTGATGATCCACCCAAAATTCTTCAGGAAAGGGCCTGAAGAAATTCATTCATATTAAGATATAAATAGTGAGTTTACACGTCTTAATGTTACTCCTCATTCATTCTACAACGTTTACCCAATATTTGACACCCACTGTGCTGGGCACTGGAGGTGGTAACTGAGAGACAAGGTCAGCTGTTCCCAAGGAGCTTTGGATCTGCTGTGGAATACAAATAAGTAAAAAAGACAGAATACTTGCCTGTGACATTTGCAATATACCAGTCTTATTCCGTAAGGCGGAAATTCCAGGGAATGGTGGGGGCTGGGAAAGGCATTTAATGGCTTCTTTCTCTGTGGTAATAAATTTCACTTTGTGAAATTAAGACTTTGGAAAGGGTAAGCAAGCTGAACTCCCAGGTTAGCATAGAACCGATGAGAAGTGTTGAGTGCACCACAGCCCCGTTATGTTATCCTGGCTGCTGATGACAAGGCACTCAGAGACGTGCCTGCTACTACTGGTCAGTAGTGTCAGTCAGAGGGAGCAAGCTGAGCTTGAGCTTTCTCTTTTCGGTCAGGTTGTTACCTGTTCACATGTGCGGCTTCTTGCCTGAGTGGAGGGGAATCAGACACTTGTAGGAAAACTAAAACAGATACTACAATAAACTGGAACATTGTTTTCCCTTAGAAATGCGCAACTTTGCTTTAGCTTTGCAAGATATCGGAAAACCCATTTTTAGTTCCTTCGTGGAACTGATAATGATGCTAAGGTTCTTTTATCTTCTTGATGCAGTGCTGTAGACACTCTGGAACCTTACTAGGATATTCATCTAGTTTACTTACCTGCTATCTTCCTGGAGAAAGAAAAATATTTTAATGGTATATTGACTTTTTTAAATATCTATTTAAAACAAATATGTTTTCAGAATCAGTATTTAGGGTAGTTAATGATATCCTTTTGAGGAAATTATGTCTTCGTGGTCCAGAGGCTTGGTCAAGAAGACCCCTACTTCTTTCAGTAATTCCCAAAATGTGTTCCTAAATAGTCTTTCTTTAAAGTAGAGGTCTGGGGGCCGGCCCCGTGGCTTAGCAGTTAAGTGCGCATGCTCCACTACTGGTGGCCCGGGTTCGGATCCCGGGCGCGCACCAACGCACCTCTTGTCCAGTCATGCTGAGGCGACGTCCCACATACAGCAACTAGAAGGATGTGGGACTACGACATACAACTATCTACTGGGGCTTTGGGGAAAAAAAAGGAGGAGGGTTGGCAATAGATGTTAGCTCAGGGCTGGTCTTCTTCAGCGAAGAGTATTGGCATGGATGTTAGCTCAGGGCTGATCTTCCTGACACACACACACAAAAATAATAAAGTAGAGGTCTGTGGTTAAATAAGTTTGGGAAATACTGCACATTATCCTCCTCTCTTGGATGTTTAAAGGACAAATCAAGGTATTAAAAATTCAGTAATTTTAAAGAAAAATGAACTATCAAAAAAGGTCCCCAAAGGGAGGCTCTTTGGCTACAATAATTAACGCAACTCTGCCTTCCCTGTATGGA